TTTTATTCCTAAAAGGTAAGAGTCATGTTACTCATGATACATTTGTGGAAAACTGCATTGATACACTTCAGTTTTATACAGAACAGGTTTTGTTTAATACAATGGAGAGCTATATAATAGACCGAAAGTCCAGCTGTATTATGTAAATAAAAATCTTAAATGAATGCCTATGATAGCATAACCGTACATAAACAGTGCTTATAAACCAACCATGAAATGAAATTTGAAATTGCTGATAAAGAGTACCATTCTCTCAGTGTTGCTCTACCTCCATACAAATTTTACTTGAAATATCTTTTCAAAGAGGCCTTTGACAGCACTTTTCCGATCTTCTCATGTGGACAAAAAACGCGACCTCTCAGTATGCTAAACAATCGAGATTCTGACGTCATTTTCGGAGTTATTACGTCATAAAAACAAGAAAGTGACATCGAAATAAGTGCAAATTTTCCAGCTCTTTTCAATGGTATCAAACTTATAAACTTCCGTGAAACGGTTAATATTTTATCAAACAGTTCTCGGAACTTTTCAAATGCCCCTCGTACATAACTTATTTAATAGAATATTTCATTCTGGTATTTTTCCATATATGTGGACAAAATCAATTCTTGTGCCTGTATTTAAAAAAGGTGATGCAAATGATAGAAATAATTACAGAGGTATTAGTCTTTTCAGTTGTTTTTTCAAACTTTTTACTACTGTATTAAATCAAAGATTATTAAAATGGTCAAATAAGAACTCTGTTATTACAGATGTACAATTTGGATTTCAACCTAAACGTGGAACAGCTGAATCAATATTTTGTCTACATACATTGATGAATCAATCATTAAGAAAGAAAAATAGACTCTATTGTTGTTTTATAGACTACACAAAAGCATTTGATACTGTCGAACGTGCGCATTTATGGCACAAACTTAGTGTATATAGAATCAGGGAAAAATTACTTGGCATTATACGGTCGATGTATTCTAGTATGAAATGTTGTGTCCCTAAAATTTCCTATTTTCATTTCAGTTACCCTTTAAAAATATGATTGACTAATATGTTCTCCCTAGTTGTGACTAGTTTTATGAAGATTTTATCCATAGGTTTAAAAGAAAATTCACAAATAATGTGTTTTATTTTCATAAATAATTTTTAGTAAAAAATTAAAATGTCTATCCAGCCTTTCTTTACATATTTTATTAGACATTCATATTATGCATTTATTAACAGAAAATTTTAAAACATAAAGCATTTCATTTGCAAATAAAACATTTTTATTCTCATTTTCTCTTAAAAAATGCAAAAAAACTTATAAAATATTTAAGGGCTTATACCTTTCTTTCATTGCCGAAACCATAGTTTAAAATGGATGTCTTATAACATATTTAAGAGCTTATACCGTTCTTTCATTGCCGAAACCATAGTTCAAAATGGATGTCTTATAAAATATTTAAGAGATTATACCGTTCTTTCATTGCCAAAACCATAGTTTAAAATGGATGATCTATTAAATTAAATTCTGGTGTGGCATTCCTCCTTAAATGGACTTTGAGCTTGAATATTGTTCGTTATCTTCATATTTCACTCTAACTCAGTAAGATGTTAAAGGTATTTACTTTCAGTGTATTTTATGCTTATCAGATGTGTTGCACTTTCTTAAAAGCTAATAATTGACATTGTTGCTTATTTGTTTATTTTTATATTTTACTGTTTGCGTAATTAAACATAGTTTGTATGTTACGAATAAGGAAAAATACACACCTTCAGAATGCAAAAGAGCATATTTTAGATAAACTGACAATTGGAAAAAGCGACTTTCTCTAGAAAATGTTAAAAAAAAAAAAAAAAAAAAAAAAAAAAAAAAAAAAGTAAAAAAAAAGTAAAAAAAGGGCACATACTTTGGACCTTTTTTTAAAAGTACGGATGAAAAATAATTAAAGTAATTTCTTTTAAATATATGTATATTGAGGGGTGTTTGTTTGCTTACCTGTTGAAAATTATAAAGAAAATATTATTTAAATTGATTGAATCAAAACTGATTTAATCTATTGGATTTCGTGGACGTTACAAAGAATAATTTGTTTTGTAATCAAGAAACTGAGGTTGTTACATCGTAATTCTATCCGATGTATCCCTTACGTTTAAAAGAAGAAATAGTTGAAAAGCTCATGCATTGCGTATGCTACCCGATCATAAATTATTTAAACCAGGAAGCACGTGACTGCATTCAAATGAACCTCTTAAGGTACTTTTTAGCTAAAGCATCTGCATTGGTGCTAGGAACAGAAGTGCTTGGTCGTACAATTTGTCCAGAAGCTTCCATTTTCTCAGGTAAATTAACAATAATTTTGTATTTATTTATTTTGTATTTATTGTTAATTTGGCCTTGATAAATTATTTTATTCTCTTGAAGAAAATTCTAGAGTTGGTAGCTGAAAGACCTTGTGTATACTTTACAAAATATAGAGAAACCAGCAATCTATTTTCTGTGTCCTGTTACAACAACAATACAACAACAAAAAATCCAAAACAATAAATCGTTTAACGTCTTTTACCACTTTTAAGCTTCACCTCGAAAAGTGTATACCTGCATACTTCGCTTTATCATTATTATTTATTTATTTATTTTGTCTGCAAAAGTGTCAAACCACCCTTAACATTATTTTTTCTTTTATGTGTTGTCAAGCAGTAATCTTTCTTTTTCATAAAAATAAGCATATGTGATGAAATATGGAGATAACAAACAGTAATCAAGCTTATAGACCACCGAAGCCTTGAAAATTGACAAAACAAATTCGGACTTCTAAAAACATCAGGGGTGGGAACAGGTGAAGAAGTAAGTATCCCCTGTCGACCGGTCACACCCGCCGTTTGCACCTCGTCACGATCGGGAAAACGAAAAATTCCGTAGACAATTCAGTGTGCAAATAAAAGTCTAACAATTAGTTTGAAAACGTCAGTCAGCATTCAGAACTCTAGGTTCTAGGTGGAACACTCAGGGGATTTTTTACTGCAAGTAACCAACAACCCCTTCTGAAATCATTGGCACTTCATTTCTACCGATTCGTATGCTTCTGTTTGTTAAGTCTATGGTACAGTTATTCTCAGACAGGAAATCCAGTCCCAATACATGCACTATCTACAGACAGTTTTGCTACAGCTATAGTGTTCTTGTTCGATCTATCTCCGATGTGTAAATTTAAAATTACCTTCCAATAAACTTCAGTTGTTTCTCCATTTAAAGAGAGAATATCTCTAGTAAATTGTAGGAGTTCCTTTTCTCGCATTGGAATTTTGTTATACAGTTCCTTAGAAATCAGTGAAACAGTGGCACTTGTGTCAACCAAAAATTTTCTTGAATATCATTGAATAAGACATCAACATAGATACCTGGATCACTGATGCTGTTGTTTACACCAATATTGCTTCAACCTCTTGTTTCGCTTCCGAAAATTAATAGAAACAAACTGTTTGGAAGATTGTTGGTGCTCATTTGTCTTGGCGAAAAAGGTAAAGATAACGAACAGTGATCGATCTCAAAAAATCCACAAACAATACAAGTATATAAAGAGGGCATAAAACACGGACTCCTGGAAATTCTAGAGGTGGGATCAGATGCCTAGGAGGTGTACATGTAAGTATCCCCTGTTGACCGGTCACACGAGTTAGTAAGACACGATGTAGTTACGATATCGATAGATTACCTTTATAATAGTTTGCTACAATATTTCCTTATATTTGTGTGCATATTAAAATACTTTCTGTCTTACGAAGTTTTTTTACTGTCAATATCCACGATATCATATCGATATCGAATCATGATTGGTCAATGGATTATGGTTACCACTCTTAATATTGTGTTTTTAATATGTGAGTTACTTGAATACTCTTAATTACCTTATGAAATTTTTCTGTAGTGTCGATATCATCGATATCGACGATATCGATTCGGTATCGAATTATGTTTGTTCATCACTTGTTAAGTACCATCCTTACCATTGTGTATGTGTGTCTATGTTTAGATACTTTATATTTACGAACATTGTACTTGCAATCAATATCGTTGATATGGACGATATTGTATTGTTATTGAACCATTTTCGTGATCACTCTTATGGATGTATTTTTTATGCAATACTTGTGCGTATATACTTTCTGATTATGAAGTTTGCCCTCGTATCGTATCGATATCGAATCTTGAAAACATAATGTTTTACCAACTTTCACCCTAACCCAAAACCTTACTTTAACCCTAACCCCTGACAATAGCAATCCCTAACCCTTTGTTTGTTATCCCTTTTTATATAAATATTCATGCCAATAATGAATCAATATCTACATCGCTTGTGGCCTTGTATACATGTACTTATGTTATACCTCAACTTGAAACTAATTTGTACAAATCAGGATTGATATCGATACTATATCGTCATGGTATTGTCGATATTGACGACATAGACATAGCACTAAGTTTTATAAATGGTATCCAGTATTTCCTTTTTAATAGTACTGATCAGGATCGACATCGATAGGATATCGACATAATATCGTCGATATCGACATCGAATTCGTTCTTGGACCTGTAAGGGTCACACCCACCATGAGCCCTATGTATTGATTAGGTAGACGGAACTAACTAAAGTCAATTCAGTACAAAAACAAAGGCCTAACAATTGATATGAAACAAGTCAGCCAAAATACGACTCAATGATAAGTTATATTTTCTAACAAGGTCATTAAAACCACCATAAAATTTAGGAGATTTGGTCTTTTGAGCATATCCATCCTTGTTTCTTCTTGGGGCTTTACACTCTCTTTTGCAAATGACCCTTCCGTCGACAATTATGGCAGGTTGCTCTTTCTTTCCAATTATTTTGAGAAGAAGTGTCTGGGACTTTTTGGCTTTAGTAGCTCCTTTGTTGAGACTGATTTTATCTCTTGTCTCATATCATTAATCGCTTTTCCCATGTATTCAATGAGCTTCAAATATATCTTTTGTGTCTCATTGTTACCAATTGATCTGTAGAAACCCTTCTTTTCAATCTGCTTTTGCTCTGCCTTACAATAAGCTTCTAGCTCTATTGCATGTCTAATGGCTTGGTTCAAGTCTCTTGGTCTAGCCTGCTTTACACGGAGTCTCATATATGATTCGAAAAGAGCATCAAGGAATTGTTCCTTAGCTTGTATCTCCATGACATCAGTGGGTACCGTCGGATAGGCTAAGTGAGTAAATCTTTTTATATTTTGTTCTGGAATTGTTTCTGTTGCCTTCTTTTTACGCCCCCTCAACTGTGCTCGGTAGAGCTCTGTCTGATTCGAGGGTGCAAATCGCTCACTTAACGCTCCTACAAGCTCATCATAATAGTTAAGAGCATCACCAGACAAATTACCAAGCACTCCTTGTGCTTATCCTCTCAATGAAACAGCTAAGTATAGTTCTTTTTCAAGCTTGCTCCAATTTCCAAGCATTGCATAGGCATCGAAGTGAGATTTATAGTCCTGCCATGAGCTTGTTCCATCATACGCAGGAGGTTTTATATTTGGTCTACTTTCACCAAAAATGGGCTGTTTGGATCCTATTTGATCTGTTGTCTCAAATTTGCACTCTGCCCTTGAACTATACCCTGGCTCGTTTTATGCATTATTTTCTTTTTTACATGCCCTGTCAGCCGTTTCCGATAAGTATTACCTGGCTCATAACCCATTTTCTATCGATATTTGTGCTCATCTATTTCCTGCCGAATATGTGAATGGTCAGTTTCTCTCACTAAATATGGTCTCAAATTATACTTCTCATCAAAGGTTTTCTCAGCATTTACCCCTGACCTGACGCCATGCGTTCCAAGTTTTTTTTTTCTTTTTTCGTCTCATTTTCCTCCGGAATGTGCAAAGGAATTTGATGCTTATTAATTCCTGATTCTGAAAGTGTTTTCATCTCAAATCCGGGGTCTTTGGTCTTCTGATCATTCAGTTTGGGCGTAAAATGGTCCAGACGCGACCGCTTCAATGTTTTACTTTTAGGTTCAAATCTGGCTATCTGGAACTCAATGTCGACAATTATGATTCATCTCCACTTGTCATGATTTTTGTCTTTTGTCTCAGAGCTCTCCCAATCTTCTTTAACACTCTCAATCAACTCCGTCTCAAAATTTCTCAGATTGGCTCAATTGGACACTTTTCTCAATATTTCTCACTGCTGCTACCATTAAATGTGACGTGTAACCGCACGGATATTACAAAAATTATAAAAATAACGTATTTATAAAAATATTTCTCCTCAATTTAGACTGAGCTTCTTGCTCAAAAAGTGATTCGTGGGAAAGCTCAGATAACTTCTGAGTACCTAACGAAGAGAAATTATTTACTAAAACCTTTTGGACGGAGTAATAATATAGTCTCAATTTAGCTGAGTGTCTACTTATTATGGTCTCAGTATTGAATTTCTCTATCATTTGTCTCAATTATGTCTCAAATGCTGGCTTACTTATTTATAACTTAGTTTATTTTAATTATTAAAAGTTTAGCTCAAATTTCAGATAGGGAAGTGAAGACTCGTTCAGGCACGTCTAATCCGTGCCTCACCTTATTCTAAGTTTACTTCAGCATCTCATCTTCTCTACTCAATTGTTGTACTAACTGTGTGTTACTGCAGTTTTATACTTTCCTAATTAGCATACTTAATTCTCATTGGCTATTGACTTTATGTAATATTCTCTCTACTACAGAGTTCCTAATTTCTAACTAGAATTACCTCCGATCATCGCAATATCATTGAATCAACAACTTATTTGTCAGAGGCCTGACTCATTTAGAATCTGTACATAGAACGTACTAAATAGGTAGGATAACAGCTACACGTTTGTAAAAACTCAAAATTATAGTGAAGCGGATATCTTTCTACTTTTGAGATTTTCAAGGGACTGTGCAGTTCATTCCAGTACGATACTGTACAAGTGTGTTTTACTACGCCTTTATACAAGGTCTATAAATATTTTTCAGTTTAATTTGACTATAAAAATATTTCCACTGATTGATATATTCCGAAATATGTCCCTGTTTTGGACAGATCACGCTCGTTTCATTTTTATATTTAAATTTACAAGCTACGATAAAGCTTGACCTACGCCTCAAGTAGATTTGTTTGTTTGTTGTTGTTGTTTGTTGTCCCTCTCGAGAATTTTTCACTCATATAGAGACGCCACCACTTGCCGGTGGAGAGCTGCAAATTTTGTCCTAAACTAGTACTCGACACTTACGGCCATTGAGCAGTGAGGGATCTTTTTCGTGCCAGCACCTACTGCGATACGGGACCTCGGTTTATACGGTCTCATCCGAAGGACCGGTCTCCACTTCTCACAGTGGGATTCGAACCCGCCTCAAGTAGAGAGAAACTGCATGTCAAACAAGTAATCTCAGTTAGTGCGAGAACAAGCTGGCTTTCATTATACATTTGTTATAATGACAAGATAAGTTGCACATTAATTTATCTCTTCATTATTTATGACAAAGTATTTTACTGTGTGTGAAAGATTACATAAGTACTCAATCATTGAGATATACTGATATTGTTTTAATGTGGCGTCATAATTGTTTTCCCGAATTTTTCCATAGGCTGATTTAAGTATGGAAGTCCTCAACCTAGCTGTAAAGTATTATTTCTGGCACTTTGAGTTACTAAATTGACACTTTGATGTACTGTTGTTATCACTATTACTATGCAACAACAACTTTTATTTGACAAAAAGTTCAAAAAAGGTCATTATAATGGCAATGCTGACGTTAAATGGGATACTTGATAATCCTGTAACATAAACATATATTTAAGTAGCTTGTCTCTCTTTTAAATTAATCCTACTAAGAATATGCTCTTGAGTATAAATTCAGTTACAGATGATGATGTAAAATTATCACATAAAAAGGGAAAGTTTAAAGCGATTCCCTACAGTTATAAAGAGCAGCGTTACACCACATATTCATTTGACAATATGTTGTTGGAGTGTGAACACGAATTTGGAGATAAAAGTTCCTGACTTATTGACTGAGGAAGTGAAGATCGCGATTTTAGGAACCATGATCCTGTGTGTGATGAAAATATGAGGCAATCCGAAAACACCCATACTTCTTGTAGTTAATAAATAAAATATTGCTAGTTCGTACCATTAGAGAGAGATAGAGAGATTATCTGACTATTACTTGTATGTGTAATTGATGTTTTAACAAAAGTAAAAAGATTAACGATACTTAAAATAAACGAAGCGCCGCTTGAAAAACGAACTCTCTAAACAACACCTAGCTGGACGAATAGAAAATTAGGACTGCATACAGTATTACTGTATTACTGCTCTTTGGTAAGATAATTAAAGAAAACTTCAAAAATTAATAAAAGTAACTCATGATCACTTGCTTTAATGTAAATCGCAGAGACAGTAAATTAGACGCTCTTTGTTAAATATTGGCCTTTTAAAACTTCGTTATGGAAACATGGGAAATGCAACTTACACACGGCGTCATGTGACGAATACATGAATATATAATTTCTTCTTCTTCTTTTTTTTTTTTTTGGACTTTAAATAAAATGCGATGTATCTTTCGAAAAATCACCTATGGGTTGGTGACGAAAAAATGTTATCTTTATTCTTGAACAAGATTTGTTTATGTGTGCATTTAAAAATTGGCATGAAAGGTATATTGCTTACAATGACCATTAACATAAACTTAATGGCTTGCGCAGAGTAACACAATTACACTTTATATGCTTTTTTAAGCTATCCAAACACTATCCATTATCAATTATCTTAAGGCATAACAGCATTTTTTTTTCCAAATAGATACATTTATGCATATATATATGTACTACCTCATGGAAAAAAAAATTGACAAATCTTGCTGTTATCAATTAACAATAGTTATTCGCCAGAGGAAATCTGTGTGCGAGAGATACCCGTTGACCAAAGTTAGTGGTCATCCAATCAAGAGGAAACCCTTTGTATTTGTTTTAATTGTATTAAAGTTTGTAAATACATTATATTTGGTCAACAAAAGCCAGAGTTAACAGGTTAACAAACCCGAGTGTAACGCCTTGGTGATACAAGACATATCACCACACAACAGCTCGACCGCGTTGCACGTTACAGCATTTTCAATTTTTAACGGGAACCAGATAACACTTATCGGTAGGGGACTAGTTTTGCTAATGCAATACTCTCAGAATGCTTGATAAATTATTGCTTGAAATGAAATTGCGAGTTAATGCAGAAATGATGCCAGTGTTTTAATCAGCGATAGTAATGGTTTGCATGCATTTTTTTTTCTTTTTAATTTCTGCTCATTTCAATTCAATTACTAATATTATTAAATCAATGAATGCATGCAGTACTTCAAAATTAAAGATATCAAACTCATTGAGATTTTATGAAAATATTACGAATTCAGTTGATGTGAACAGCAAATACAAATATTTTCTGATAGTCTCACTTATATCAGTCATGCTATGTAAATTCTTTGGATTATTACATACTTCAAAAATATGATAAGTAATTATTTTCCTCAATAATTGTTATACTAAAATTTAAACTTGAATTATAGCATGCAGAGTTCATGGTCCATGGTCTTAAAACGTGTATATTTGTGACGAACTGATTGTGTGAATTATACAGATTAAAGTATAAATTAAACACAATAAAAGTTTAAAATTTACAGATTTAAGTATCAAATGTACAGAATAATTTAAAGTGTGAATTTTACTGATTAAAGGGTAAAATTTAAAGATAAAAAGTAAAATGTAAAATGTAAAAAGTAAAAAGTGTAATTTTTACAGATTAATGTATAAACTTTACAGATTAAAGTGTAAAATTTACAAATAAAAGTGTGAATTTTACAGATTATTATATAAATTTTACATATTAAAGTGCAAAGTTTACATATTAAAGTGTAAAGTTTATAGATAAAAAGTGTTGATTTTACAGATTAAAGTGTAATTTTTACTGATTAATGTGTGGAAAAATCAAAAATTAAAAAAGTTACCAAGTGACACCAATACACTTCTGTAGGTGGTACTAATATGCTTTTAAAGCTAATGACTAAACGAATCTTTATATGTACTTCTGTATGTACATGTATCATGGCCAGCAAGTGAAAAGTTTGCAGCCGATCTAAATGAATTCCAATAATATATTATCTTGTACCATGCTGCAATAAATATAATCATAAATAATTGATAGAGCAGAATGACACAAAGAAACTGGTCATTATTTGATGCCGAGCAGATGAATATTTCGGGATCGTTTTGCTATGATTTTTTTTTTAAAACAAAGAATGTTCGTAAAGTATGCCAACGTGGAATTTTCTAAGTATAGAAAAAAATAAATGAAATTTGAGTATACAGTTCTTAGAAATATCTCAATTAAATGGGATCATTAACAAATCGGAAATAAAAAGATGAATTGAACCTTTCTAATCTTTTTAGATAATGACTCTAACCTTCTTGATGATTCTACACACTTTTCTAGGACATGGTCTAGGTAAGTAGAAATATAATTATGTGAAAAATATGAAGGAAATAGATTAACAAAAAGCTTATTTAAAAAATTAACTGCCATTTGATGTTCCTTTCTAAAGCATTATTTATCTTTTGTACATACTACATTCCATCCTCCTCCTTTTTATAGTTTTGAAAATCATTCTGATATTTGGGTGAATTAAAACA